TAGTATAAGTTAGGTAAAGGTACACAGTGGTTGGAAGACAAACTTCGTCGCTATGAACCAACTCCTGGAAATGCGGAGAGATATAAGGGGGTGTAGTTGTGGGTGGTGTAATGAGTGATTATACTGATCCTCAGTTGTTGCATAGTGGCAGTTGACTTGCAGATATTGTGGTTTTAAAAAAGGGGAATGCAGATTTGAGCCAAGTGAAGTTGTGATATCCATTTAGCGGGGATATTTCTGTCTGATTTTACCAGCAGAGCAATGATTGGTACATTTATCAGAGTTTTGCTGCCCTCAAAGTTAATGTCCCTTTTTATCTCACTAAAGGTAGGTGGTTGAGGTTACATAAATGCCTGATGTATTACAACTGAATAGAATTGTATCCATCAGCAAAGAAGCTTAATTTGCCGTTGTTACGTTTATGTTCAGTGGTCGCCCATAATGGAGATAAGCCCCACTGCGATGTATGACGCAGTTTAACATATTGTCAACTATGAGTAATGAATTTGTGCTTGAAAACCATTGAACTGCTCCAGTGGAAAAGAATAACATTCAAAGCAGAATGTTTTTCAGAATTGAAAATAGTTGATGAGAATGAAATTTCAAAAGCGCAAAGTCCCATTATTCCTTAAGACATTTCCCAAATTAGATTGAGCTTATCTGTACCAGTATGGATGCTTTCACTTTTTTAATTTGTAAAAGCATCCGGGAGTTTATAAAATTTAATCAAGAATTTTCCAGATTCACATGTTTGCATGACTGTTGTATGTATGTTGTATTTTTCAGTTGTTTGCAGCCTTATTGTATGCATTCCTTGCAGATACTCATTGTGATATATCATATGTATGTATTTTGAATATTTTCTGTTGAACTTTGTTCTTATTCAAATGTGAATTTTCTTTTCCTCTTGAATAAACTATTTCAGTATTGGAGTGGCACTTCATATTTATAACTTTGTCTCCCCAACAGAATAACACAACTTATATCAAATATACACCAAAAGACATCAAGATTTGTTGCAATTAGAATAATACCAAGCTTTATTGAGGAAGAGCATGACCGTTATTGACTTTCAATGTCAAGGCTATTAAGATGATCAAGCAATCAAACTTATTTACCAAAGATTCAAAGGATAAGATTGCTGCATTCGTTTGTACTCAAGATAGTATAAAAAGTTCTTTGTCAAATGATAATAGAAGTCTTAATAAAAAAGGCGAAACAGTTCAAGGTAATAAAAAGGTCTTATATATAAAGAGAAAAGGTTAAATTAAATAGAAAACATCAAGGCATCTACCATATGGATTATCAGTATTAGTCATAACAAATTATTGGTCAAATGTCAAATGTCAAAGTCAAACCTTTTAATATTTTTACAGCTTAAGCAATGGCTGTTTATCTTCTAAGTAAGCCCATCCATGACACCTTAGTATTTAGAAATATGGTAATTTGCTGAAAATATGAGGGAGACTAAGTAAAAAGGAATATAAATGGAGGTGAGGAATATTTATGTAGATCATCCTATGTGTATAATTGTCTTACCATTAATCGCTTTATTAGCTTGATTTGAGTTTTGTAGATGTGTGTGCATGTTTGAATGTTGTATTATGATGATGTGTGAATATATGCAGCAGATGATGTATTTAGCATAAAGTAATTACTACCAGCATAGGTGCATTGGATCCAGGTATGTACTTATTGATAAGATGTATTGTGTTATTCCATCCATATTTTTTTATATTTCCTATAGTACAATAAAAAAGTAGTTCCTAGTTTATTTCTAAAGAAAACAGTTTCTTGTTTAGGTTTATAATTAACCTTTAAATTTTCTAAATTATGGAACCAAGGGGAGATAAATGATTATTATTAGTCTAATAGTTTTTTTGTTTAGATATAATGCACTTGTTCACTGCTGAGCAAAAACCATCTGCTGAGCAAGGTGTTTTATTATGGCCTGAAAACAAGGTAAAAACTACCAGCAAGATCTTGCAGGTCACTCATCAACTATCAGTAACTTTTTGGTTGGTATCTGTGTAACCACCTTTGTTAAACAATTTAATGACCTAGCTTCTTGAAAACACTGCTGTTGAGTAAAAACAACATATAAAAGTTATTTTGCTAACGGCACTAATAAAAAGCCTATGTTCTTTTTTTTTGCTAACAGCGCTAGTTATAAACCTATATCACTTGCAAATATTAGGCTATTCTATTAGCATTTCAATTTTAGCATTTTGTTTTAAAACACAATAAAATATTTATGGATGGTGCCATGTTAAAAAAAAGCAAGTTTATTTCATGCATTTTGAGAGTAACAGATTTAAAAGAGGGATTCCATCATGCCACGATATAAAATGACCAAATGGAGAAACACTACAAAAAGCACTTCTATCGACAGAAACCATAGGGAACAAGAACATAACTGTAAATCCATCGTAAAGACATTAATTATTCATAGCACGTCGGTGGCAATGTCTATTTATATTTCCCAATATGAGATGATTCCGATCCTAAACTATGCAGTCTTTCCTAATCTTTATGACTTTAGTTTCGCTCACAAAACATTTTATTGGTTGTTTGAATAATTAATGCAGCAGGGGGCCCCGCAAAGTAACTTTAATTAAGACTATTATGTTAGTCAAATTACTTGATCTTAAAAGATTTGAATAATTAGGGATGAAGATTATTGAAACTGCATTACTGCATTTTCAGAGCTCTGTTATTCTCTTATAAGTGCAGTCTGATGACTTTCCATACTGTTGACTTGTTGTGTGGGGGTTGCGTTCATTGAACGTTGCCTTTCCTTGTTGATTTTGTTTATCATTTTTTTTAATATTAGTATTTTGGTACTAAAACACCCATAACCAAAACGTCCAAATGGAGACTTTCAAAATTAGTATATAAAATCATGTAATAGTAAAATCTATAAAAAAATTGTAGCAGAAGGTTCAACTGTTTTAAAGGAGTTAATCAAATTTATAATGGTTAGTAGCAATATTGACTTTCCTCATCATCGGTAAAAAAGTCTAGACAGTTCGGAACTGCTGTTAAGTGTAATCTATCTGTTTAGTGCTGAATTCAAACCCCCCGTATTTTGTATTACTGATTTTCAGCTTTGATTTGGATCAGTCCATTCCAAATTTAAGGGATTTCTTGTCAAAATACAAAACTTGACCTAACGATAGTTATAATACAGCCTGACCACTGTTTCATACACGACTTATGAGTCAGTTTCGGTTAATATTTTACTTTTATGATATATAACTTCCTTAAAGTAGCAATGGATAGTTTTAAATTCCAGGGAAAATTGTGAATATGTATATAGCAAAGTAACTTTAATGTCAAAACAAAGGTCTGTTAATTTCCTCAGCTTGCAGAAGTCCTACGGCAAGATAAATAGTTGGGCGGTATTAATTGCAATAAAGTTGGACCCTGGCTTAACATTCACTTCAGGTATAATATGCTGAAAGCAGAAGAAATATTTTTTGCAATTGATTGTTTCCATTTTGAATATTCAATTCAGGCTTGATTTAAGTTTCTCTTTTTTGTTTGTAATAAAAAAATTATGTGCGTCCTTCCTGAAATCCTCCGTCATTAAAGTTTTTGCCACATGTCATTCAAAATTCAGTCCATACATATAAATTGGATAAGGCTCATTTCCCAGAGGCCAGTTTTCTGCAAGAACAGCCGGAATTTCACCGTATAGATTTCATAAATATTTATGAAAATGTCATTCCCTTGCACGGCTGTATTGCATAGTGATTTGAGTAACTGTCTATCAATAAGCTATTAATGATGAATTTGTCATTTTATACTTTTCTACGTTATCCAGCTGTAAAATGTTGGTACAAAGAAGAGAGAATGCAAACTGATTACTCCTTACAATGCTAAATATTTTATTAACTTGTCCATCTTTCATTTTAAACAAAACCATTAATAGGTTATTAGGAAAATTTCGAAATATTTGCTGACTTTACAGTGCAACCCGATCAGACAGCAAATGGATGTGCCTGCTGATCTTGGTTTGCTTTGCTTGCATGCAACGTACAAAATATTGTTATAGATGATATTTTAAATGAATGTCTCATATATCTTTTCTCGTTAAAGTCTTTAGTCATTAAAAGTGACTTTATCTCATTTTAATACTGAACAAATGCTCTTTTGAATAGTATATTTACAGCAACAAACTTCTTATTACAGTATTTTCTCGACATAATTCTGAATTTTGAAAGGTCTTTTTAAACCTTTTATTGCATAAATTCCATTCATTATTTTGCCACTTTCTGCTGAATGTTATGGTTTTCAGACCATCTGTTTCAGAAATTCCACGTAGTACTTCCCTTCATTATGATTTTCAAACCGTCTGTTGCATCAATTTCATGCAGTATTTCCCCATTTTATGTTTATGTTTAATTTTATTCTTTTCTCTGTAAATTTCACTATAGTTTCCCAATTTGATACTGAATTTTATGTTCTTTCAATGAGTTACTACAAACCCACTGTGACATGAATCTCGAAATATTTCCTAACTTAAAATTTCGTCAAAAATTTCCTTACACACTCATTTATTCACTCATAGAATTGCAGGACTTTCAAAGCTCAGAGAATGTTGTTAATAAAGTGTATGTTTAAATAAACATAGTGATTGGTTTCAAGCAATACAATGTATTCTTAATATGATACAGTTTTTTCTTTTTCCATTTTTTTAACCAAATTCTATTGATGCATTTGTGTATTTTATATTGTATCTTGAACTTACATAACTAATTATTTATTGATTTCTTAATAAATTTATGACTGTTTATTAAATACACAGTAAAAAGGTAACTCAACACTTTTTCAATAAAATATGATTTTTGTTTATATATATTTAATTTTTTTTGCCTAGAATCTGCATGGTCAATGATTTGAAATACAATAATTTATTATACAATTTTGTAAACTAAACACATGTAACACAATATACGTCAAAATGATAAATCTAGATATTTTTTTAACTTGATCAGGTGAAAGTGGAGGCTTATCGACGGCTGCTATCATTGGTATTGTCATTGGTATCTTTTTCTTGCTGTTTATTATTGTCGATGTTACATGCTATATCAAGAACAACTGTGGAATCTTGATGAGTATCAGGGAAAAAGTTGGAGGTGGCAGGGAGGAAGGCTATGCTGTAGCTAAAACAGAAGATGTTGAAAATTTGTAAGTATTACAGTTGAATAAGAATGGCATTGAATAAGGCTATTAAAGTGAATTAGAAATGAGGTTTGTTTGCTTGTTCATTTTGTTTGGTTTAAGACACATCAACACTGTCACCATCATGTAGCGTTTTCCCAGCTTTATTGCTGGAGGAAGATCTTAGTTCCCCTCCGTGCATTATTTGTTAAGAGGAGAGGCATCCGAGAAGAAGCACCGACGTTGAAAAGTTTTCTCACATGAAATAATTCAAAGTGTTTGATGGGACTTGAGCCTTGTCAGACTGCAGGATTTACTGATGGCAAAAGCTTAATACATTCGTTCTCAGAGGACAAACCGGTTTCAGTATACCTATTTGAAAACAGATGATATTAGTTTTAAAATATGGAGTTAGTCCTTGATGTAAGGCTGCAAATATATTTGTTGGCAAAGATTTGTTATAGGATTTTGCCGCAATTGAAAACATGCAGCTTCAGCAAAAATTGCAAAGCAGATAAGAGGCAGTTACGATTTTGTCTTAAAATAACTTTTCTATCAACTCTAAATAAAGCTTTGTCTGTGAACAATTTTGCAACTGGAGTTTAGATGTTTCTATATATGTATTATTATCGTATTAAAAAGTCCAGAAAAGCAAATAATATGGAGAATGCGTGATGTGCTGCAATGTACGGACTTGTTCAAGGCTTCTAATATTGTAATCAGACCTGTCTTGAAACAACTTTATTGCCTGATGTTGAGAGATAACTGAAACTAAAATCCATTTCATTAATATTGATTGGCAAATTCACATGCATTAGCAACATTGGTTGGAATTTTTCTCTGTAATTATGTCAAACAACGAGGTTTTACGATACAATGCAAAGTAATTGTAAAATCATTTGATTGTCATATATAAGGGAGGCCACTCATTCAATTATATATTTTCATATTAAGATTTCTTTCCTGGACATAAACACTTCGTTTGCAAAATTATGTTATTTGTTTTTGCATGTAAGAGAGGTAACTGCTCTAAATTTAGATTTTCATCTAATGGTTAACTTTCTTGCTTGCATAAAGCTCTGGATTCAACATTTATTTGTTTTCTATATTCATGGATAAGAAAGATAACTGTTCTGATGAAGAGTGACTTATTGATTAGCTCCCTTACATTGCGTAAAATGATGAGATGTTTTAAATGATTATTCAAGGGCAAAGAAAGATGAGCTGACAGAGGAAGTTAAGGCAGCTGAAGAGGGTGAGCTTGCACTTGCTGAGACTCAAGAGTAAGTAACCATGGATTTTTTATTAGCCTCCAATATTATGTTCTGTGAAAACATTGATTTGTAGACAATACCACACAAAGCAGTTTTCTGTCTAATAATATGTCTGAGTAGTTTCGTTGAAGGAATGATTTGTTGTACTGATTTATTGTGAAAACAAGCTTTAGATATGAAGCTCAATTAAAAATATAATTGTTTTGGCTGCTTTTCTGTTTTGAGAAATTAGCCAAAATCAATTCATAAAGAGCGTTAGATTATAGGTTTGATTAATTATTATGATACAGATAGATGATTGTAATGCTTTTTAGATATTGTTTTTTTTCCTAGACAATAAATTAAATATAATTACAATATTAAAACCATTTTTGATTAAGGTTCTCCAGCAGTTCATAACTAATTACAGTTTCAAATGTAAGTTAGTTCCAGTATAAAATATGGTAAACAAGATCAACAAGGAAAGGCGGCGTTCAATAACACTGCATTAGGCAATAAATATAAACAATATCATTCCATGTAATAACATGCAAGTGCTGGAACCGCAAATGATTACTCATTTTAACAAGTACAGGGCAAGATCAACCTTCACATCCATGGTGTGTAGTCTGACCAGGCTGCTATTTTTTTTAAAAACCCATACATTTTGAAAGGACTATTTCATCGTACTAAGTGGGCCAAACTCAGTGCAAACATTTAAAAGGTTAAGTGTTAAAATATAGCATTCTTAAATGCAAGTTACACACCTGCCTCGATTCCAGTAGCAAAATTTGATTTTATGTTGATACACCTGTAAATGGACATAAACATTAAATTTAATTATTTGATCTTCGTGTGAAGGAATCTGCATTTGAATATGGTTGATGATATAAACATTGATATTGATTATGGTGGTGTTCTTTGGGTATTTCTAAGTAAATACAATATAATGAGGACCTGCTACAGAGGAGACTACAAGCTGAACTGAAAAAAATGGAATTTTAAGAAGAAACAAGTGATTTTTTTAGAAATGAGTACCTTTCTTTATCATGGCTTTTATTAGTACATTTTTCTTTTGTTAATTTTTTAAATCTTTGGTGATTGCAGCGAGAAGAAAGAACCATTATTATCAGAAGAGCAGAAAGTAGACACAGTAGATGAAGGGTAAGTTTCATTAAAATATGCAGTTGAAATTATGTGCTGAACTACAATTAGTCGATTTGTCCATGTATCAAAGTAAAATGAAATTATTTTTTTCCTAGATGTTCTTAATAAAAACCTATATATGAATTGAATTGTTAATTTTGCTTTTATGTGTCGAATGTTTACGTGACCTGTATACATTGTACTAGAATAAATGGAGAATATTTTACCATAAATAAGTCGAGGCCTTTCAATTGATCTGATATTTAGGATCTCATGATGTGTTTCACACCTTTTCTAGACGCGATGAATGCCGATCAACTTGTATGCCAAGCGTTAATCTGAATCACACAGTTGTTTTCTCTAAAAGTCTTTCTTGTGTTATTATGCATGATTAATTGCTTTTATTTTATCATTCTAAATTGCCTTAGTATTATTTGAAAAGAAACATTACGAATTAGTTTCATTTTGATAATCACAGGGGACATATTTAATATAAGTTGATTAAGTTGTCACCCCTTCATTTTGTTTCGCCTTTAATTAGTTTGTTCTATAGTGTTTCTGCATTTTTATATAATACCTTTGCTCATCATGGTTTTGTAGGAAACCGGAGGAGAAAAAGGAATTTGAGCCAGAAGAAAAGGAAACTGCTAATACAGATCAAGCTAAAATAGAATCTCCAAAAACAGAACAGGTACTTTGTTTTTTATTTCCTGCCAATTTTTCGACTATTTGAAGATATTTTTATAAGAATATATGTAAGAAGCTCAATATCTGTGTTGATGTTTTACTGTGTTAAGGACATAGTTCCGTTATAGCCATCAAAAGTGTTTTTCTGTCATCTGTTATTGACCAGCTTTAACATTGCATTTTATTGAATTGTTCAGGTTTGATATGACTTAATTTTTACTAATAAGCACCAAGAAAAACCAAACATCTTGTCTTGTGAAAGTTGAATTAGTCACTTCTTGCTATAGTAAGCCATGGGTGTTTTCTAATAGACTGTGATGATTTGTGCAGAGCCGGTTGAAGTTTTTGTCTTGAAAATATTTCAAAGAAACGACACTTTACAAATTAAATTATATGGCACTGAAAAAATGTGACAGTTTATCATGGTTGATATTTTAGACCCACTTATTTTGATGTTTTGATTGTTAAATGATTGCCTTGATGATTATGCATCTTGATTACCAACAGATTTGTGAAAGTATTGCTGGTTAATGTACTTCATGTCCTGAATAGATTTTTGTACTTATGTTACTTAAGAAGCTTCAATTAATTGCACTTAATTATATATCATTTTCAAATATGTAGCATTTACCTTTGATATAATTATCTCTTATGAAACAATGTTTAACAGTTTATATTTAAATTAATTAATTAGGCACCAACTGAGCCAGCAAAGCAAGAAGATATCCCAGCAGCTGATGATCAGCCTTCTTCTGAGAAAGCTGATAAACCACAAGAGTGAACATCTACGTCAGCTCCCATTATTCATCATTTTATAATATAAACAAAGATAAAAATGTCTTAGATTGTTGTGATTTTGCTGGCCATTCTGTAAAATAAAACACTTTATTCTTTGTCTCAAACTAAAGATTGTGATAAATGGTAGATTACGATAGAAGAGTTTGTTTTCTGAAGGACTGTTCACAACGTTTTAAGTCGACAAAGTGTTTTCAAAGGAAATGTTCATGACTGTTAACTCTTGTATAGTGTTAGATCAAGCCTTTTGTAAGTGTTGTAGAAAAAAGTTTTTAACCATATTATTTCCCTTTAAATTGTTAGATGGTTTTGGTATTAGACTGAATTCGAATCTCTTTGACACTTTATTCTAACTTGTTGTATGTGATGGGCTAAGTGTGAAGTCGCAGTGGCATATATTGTTTCTATGCTGTGTTTAAAGATACCCATCAAGTGAAAATAGGGCATGTCTAGCGTTATTTTCTCCGGAGGGTAATTCTCCCGTGGAGAGATTTGCCACATTGATCTAGGTCAATTTTAATCTAAAGTTTCTTAACATTTTAGTGTCCTCGATATGGCACTTTTGGAACGTTTAGATGTAACGCGTTTTCAGATTGGTTTGACTTTATCTACGTCAGTTCTATCTAACGTCATTTAAAACATTTGTTAGCAATCATTTATGAATTGTCTATTCAAACTCGCTGGACTAAACTGTCTTCAGATCAATATTGTCTCAAATTCATTTCCCCAGATCATTTATGAATTGTCTCATATATTCTATATTGCAAATATGATTATTTTAATATTCGCATTTTTCTGAGTGATTTCTTTGAACTGCTTCCATAAACATAGAAACGTTTGTATGTTTTATCAGTAACTGTTTGTGTTTTCAAAACATGCCACTCATCACTTTAGTGTAAACATTATTAAAATCATCAGCTTTCCAGTTTGTGGCAAATTTTGAAATGTTGTATACATAGAAGTTGGATAGAAAGTCATTTTGACACCAAGACTAATGTGCAACAGATGGAAATTGTACACGTGAATGAATACATATTTCTGATCAACTCTAGAAATATAGTTAAAGTTACAAGGTTACTCTCATCTCTATAATTTTGTATTACCTTTGTCTTATAAAATTTTGAAGAAGAAGAAAGATGTCTTTCACGGTACAGTTTATGTTGCATATTCAGCCAATTGGTTTGAATGATTTCATAGGAGGAGGTATCGAAGTTAGCTGGAAGAAATTTGTGGTTATACAGATGTGCCAGTTGATGTCTGTAATAATGTTAGGACAGACGGATATGGCATTTCTTGACAATTCTAAATTATTTGCTGATGGATCTTAACATTGTTTGTTTGACATTATATCCAACATGAAAGTAGGAACAGTGCATATAAAATATGAGAAAAACAGAATTCTTTAAAGAAAGGCCAACACGACAAAATTGAAGATCAATAAATTAATTATTAATTAATAAAAGTTTTAGGGAAATTCTGATTATTATCAATATTGATATATGTTGACCTTTATATATAAATCTATAGATATTTTAACTGAGCTCGCATGGTACATGTACTAAGAATAGCCCTAGCAATTCGGAGAGAATATATGTAATGTAAATGATGTTGACGACATATTTTTTCTTTAAAATGCAATACTATCGTTACATGTATGAGAATTATTGTTTGCAAACAAGGAACATTTTGTATGGTGTTGTTGCCTGTTTTTATAATGTTTAATTATTTTTTTGCTACTGTTGTAAAGTTGTATTTAAAATACAATTAAAGGGACCAAGTCCGGAAATCTTTAGTCATGTAGCCCTGTAATGATGTTGTTGTAGCTATAGATTGTGTAAGTCTTCTAATTCTTACAAATAAATCACATAATTTCTTTAATTATGATTTCAAAGTGTATACGGTCATAATGGTATATCTTTATAACTTGCCATTGTTTATATTTTTAAAACCTTTTGGCTTACGTTAACAACACACACATACATTCTAGTTTCTGTTTTGTATATGAAATTTGGGTTGTCAACATAGATAAAAAATGTTGTTCTTTTGTATTTGTGTGTACATGTAATTGAAACAACCATAGAATATTGGTAGTATATATCTCAATGGGATGTGAGACAGTTTCATATAATTTACAGACAAGTGTCAACTTACTGTCAAGTGAAAATATGATTTTTGTCACGTTCATTTGAGATTTATCTTTCCAAAAACAACACAACACTAAGTTATTTTTATTGAATGTCGATTGAAGCGATTTGAGATGCCAATTCTCAAAGTTCATGTCAAATTTTAGATGAAATTTTTTTTTTACCTGTATTTACAATGGCCTTTTTTCAGTAAATAATCAATTTCAAAATTTCAGTTTTCCAGCATTTGGTAGAAGTAGTAGTTTAAAATATTTAAAGCTAATTATTCTTGTCTGAAAAGTATGATATGAACAGCTTTATGTCCGGTTGATGTTATTTAAACCCTTTGATGTTTTGCACATTGCTTTATCATAGGAAAGGTAATAATCTTATTGTTTATAAGTTAAAAGATCAGACTGTTCTAATTTATCTCTGGTCTAAGACACTTACATTTATATCTAGATGTTCACGTTTGAGACTGTTTTAATGTAAGTTATGTTCTTTGAAGTATGCCTGTGTTGTATGAGTTCATGTTAATGGAGATTTGTGTTGTTCTTAAAGGGGTTGTTTGTAAACCGATTGTACTCGTTTATTTTGTAATTTATTTCCTTTGTCTTATTTATATATATGTATATATAATATGTACTCTGACTCATGTAATGGCTACCAGGAATGTATCTTTTAAATGACGTATTTTTCTTCATGTTTAACAATTATAAAGAAAGAATGAGAATAAAGAAAAAATGATTCATCGTAACCTAAAGTAGTTCATAATGTGCATGTAATATGTTAGATAATATCAAAAGATCACAGACTGAAAGTAATAGACATTATCAAAACTTTAAGTTTAAAACGTGTAAGCATATTTTAGTAGGTTTTATTGTTACATTTTTAATCTAAAATGGTATTTGGAATCTATATCAAACTGAGAACAAAGTGGACGTTATTTTGTTGATGTTTTCGTTGAATATTCAAGCAATTACCTCATGATACTTAGTTGTTAGTTTGTTAAATGTCTAACTGCCTTGCTTTTATATAATATTTTAGCTGGTATCTTTGAATAGAAATGAATATAGGAACACAACTGCATATGCCTATGCATTTAGAAATTGTAAATGACATAATAAAGCAGGTTATAATTGTTTTAACGTTTTCCAAAAGTATTATATATATTTTATTCAAGTTTGATATTATTTGCATGATTATGAAAAACGAATTATTGGCAATAAATGCAAAGAATGATAATGTTAAGCATACTGTACTATGTTATATTTTATCTTGATAACGCCACATCTAGTCATATTCTACAATGTTATAATACTTAAAACATTTAAAAGAGTACGTTTACTAAATACATGCATGTATATTTTAATGTTACAATTATTACACATTATATGAAATCAATTTCTTGGTTACAACAATTTCATCGGTTGTCAATTATCAAGAATTTAAATATTTCAAGAACACTCAGTACTTAAAAACTCAAATTTTAAAATTCATCTCTTATTTCAATTCTAATAAACTGTACATTTTGCAACTTCATATTTTTAGCACTTGATCAAATTTCTTTATAAAATCACCTACAGTATCCAGATAATACAGTAAAACCAATATATATCATTTGAAGCTATTTTGATAACATTAACATATTGTAGCACCAAACTACATAAAAAATAACTTCAGATCTCTTTATTTGAATGCTAATTTTAATTAGGAAAATATTGGGGCAAATTTATTTTTAGAATTCAGCGAAAGTTCCTTGACTTGACTTTACTAACTCTGAACTTTTGCAGAACCGAATATCATCATGATTTGTATCTAAATAAGATGATTGATTAAAAATATATTTAAAGCAGTTACTGCTATTTAATGAAAACAATTGAAAGCAAGAGTCTTAAGGTTGCAATAAGACTCATGTGTACATTAATTTGAACACGTACAAAATGTTACGATCATTCGTTAATTGTTATGGCTTTGACGATTTTTATGATTAGAAAATATTTATTATACTGTTTAACTTATTGATATTATTTAAAGATAATATTTTCTTGCCTACCTCCTAAAGATATTTATGTTCTCAATAGAGATGTATTATAAGAATATTTTAAGTTTTATTCCCCATACAGTATTTTTTCTTTTAAAACTTAAGCAAACATTGTTGCTTCTATCATATTTCCCGAGTCAAGAACAAATTTTCAAAGTTAATTTTCATAGTCTTTAAACAGTATTTACTCACATTACATTTTCAAATTTGCTTTTGTTTTGTCTAAGATATTGGAAATGCTATGTATTTTTGTAGTAAAAAGTATTAGTATTCTAATTGATAAGATATTGCTTTAAATTATTAATAACATCAATATTTTTGTATCTATTCTTTCAATGCAAATGTTTTCAATGGAGATATATAAAATCATTCTTTTTATAAGCTTTATAGTAGGCAAATAAAATTATAATGTGAGTTTATTTGACATGGGGCATCTTGAAGAAATTGTTGTTATTTTTGCCTGGTTGCACCTTTTGTCATTCTTGCTTTGAGGTGCTATTGTATTGGTTTTACTTCAACGTCTGAACTTTGTTTCTACGAGTACTTAACATCATCTAGGAATTAAAATTGAAAAAAAATCATTTAATCATTATGAGTATGGTACTCGTGTCATTCTCGATTGAATGTCAGTATCATAAGTACACACGCTTCATTCAGATTTCATTTTACTATCATAAGAAGTAATCCACTTGATATCTTTCTAAACATAATTTGCACCTTCAGACATTGTTGATGTCTACACTATTATTTTGCTATATTATTTTCGTTCATACATCTTTTATCCTTTGACCTCTGCTTAAAATAGATCTCAAACAATACTGTGTTGTGATTGGTTATTGTCATAGCGACAATAGCTAGCTATGTTCTAATGTTTAGGTTGCAACACTGATATAAGTGTACTATGAACCGTTTGCTTTATGTTTCAAATCCTTTTTCAAAATTATTTTGGACTATTGTGCTGCAGCATTGTTAATTTAAATATCTATAGTTTTATTTTCACTGCTTACATTTATACTATTCTACAAACTGTAAATGACATGTTTTTTGTGAAATTCTTTTTATATTAACATAAGATATTGATTTGTTTTTGGACTTGAGTGATATCGAAAATCTTTCAATTTACACAGAATGGTTGTCCAATTATTAAATTTTCTCCGTCATTATTTTATTTTTTTTGGATCCCTTAGGGAAATATGTTCATTTGAATTAGAAGCTTTGAGTTACCTTTTATGAAACATAACTGATTTTGAATTACATTTCCAAAATCAAAACTAAAGTGTCTGTAGAATTAATGTTCTATATTTGATTGCCTGAATTTCCTTCAGTTTCGTACATATATTTTATTCCTAGTTTTATAATTATCATGTCAAATTTTATAACTTAAAAAGTTGTTAACATGTTTGAGGAGTGTTTTTCTTGTTTGTTCTTCTTTCTAAACAAAGCTTGCTCAGAACGAGGCTCATTGATTGTCCTTGTCATGTCAACATGTTAGATTGTGAATATTTTTTATGTGCTCTTGCTCCTGGTATTTTAACGATGAACAGAAAGACTTAGCTAACACACCATATTTCAGTAAATAACAAGTATTTTAGTATCAAAGACAAACAGGTTGATTTTGTAAAAATCACAAAAAGCACTTGATCAGTCTTTTGGTATATTGATGCAAGGACAAAGAAAGACCAATAAAAATATATCTGAAAAATTATAAATGTCCCAGCCAATTATGAGGTAGGAAACATTACATTTACATTTCGTGATGGTTAGTTACAAAAAACTGTTTTGTTTCATACAGAACTTTACGCTTGTATGGCTTTTGGAGCTATATGGTATTTGGTAAAACTTTGGTCTTGAGTGAAATATTTCTTCTACTGCAAGGCATGGTTTCCTAAAAAAAAATACCCGTAACTTATTAAAAGGCTTAAGTAAAAGCTTTGTATATACATGAGTAAGCTTAATTGTTATCATATTAACATTCCACCGGAGACGTTGAACTATGTTCCTCATAATTTTTGCCTGTCATAAATAAGAAAAAAGGAATATGCTTTAACAATTGTTGGACATTTAAAAAATGTTAAAATACTAGACTTTATAATGATATTAATTGAAAATAAGGCAATGCAAATGTTATACTTGATTGATCTAAATTTTATTGTATTAAAGAAAAGGAAATCACATTTGTTAAACAAGATATATTGGAATAATTCAAGTCATATGTAATCCAAATTATTTAGATATGAAGTGAACGCTGCTTTTTTGTACATATATATTATTATTATCATCAATGTGTTGTGCAGTTTGAATGTGTTATATACATATTACATATTTTTTGTTTTTTCTTTTTTTTTTATAAATGTGTAAACATACAACTTTTGAGAGTATAATGTATGATACATAATTGAATGCATTGACATTTAATGTAAACGTAAATTTAAAGTAATTTGAGTTGTATATTGTTTTGACAAAGTTTGCAATTTAAATAAAAAATGAATGAAAACAACATTGTTGAAGAAATTCTTTAATAAGGTTCATACTAAATTTATTTTTTATATCATATCTGAAGTATTTGTACGAATTAAATTATAGTTAACGGAAATAAATTTTCTTTTACAATGCGTGTAAAAGTTGACGAACAAAATTACAAATCTTTAATTTATAATTTCTGGAGCAAGAAATGCATTCAAATGTATCATAAATTGTATTCTTTAATCTACCAAATGTCATACAATGCCATTAAGTATTGTGCTTATTGTACGCTATATTTTGAAGAGTATTTGTATCTTTCTAATTACATATGCTTAATAAAAATACACAAAAAACTCGTGTTTTGTTTTTACATCTTCCATATCATTTAAACTACCAAAGGGTTAAAGAATGGGGCAAGAAAACTCCTTTTTTTCTGGCATTGTCCAATATGATTAACATAACCAATTAAAGAAATAATTATGTTATACTTGATCATGCTGACGTTTTAAGTTCATCTGAGCACAACTTGCTCATGGTGAGCTATTGTGATCCGCCTCCGTGCTGTGTGCTTCGTCAGCAATTTCTATGTACAACATATCCCCTGAAACCAATGACTGCACATTAACCAAACTTTAACCTTTTACCCCATGAGCATATTGTGAAAAATGGCCGTTTTCATTGAAAAGCCTCCTGTTACAAGTTCCAACTGCTATAAAACTATTAAAAATGCTTCAATACTGAAGAAACTTGGAACAAATGTTGACTTAAACCATAACCTCTGTAACAACATGCTCAATCTTTAATTTCCTGTTACCATGGCAACGCGGGGACGTCTCAAAATTGCCAAAAATCACTATTTTGCATATTTTTTTTCCATCAAAACTGATTTCAAAGTTCTGCAACTTCTCAATGCAATGAGATAGAGTAGAAGGCTTTAAGCGTTGGTTACACGTCACATTAGAATAGACCTGAGGCCATTTTTAGCCTGTCACATGTCAAAATTTTCTTGGAGATGAGGGGGACTAGCGCCCCCTTCAAACCCCCAAAACAGAAGGGAGTATATCCCCCTTCTGGCAACCCCCCATGTATCATTTTAAAGGGAAAAGTGGTCACTTTTTTAACAACATTTCTCAAACGAAAAACAGTGTTTGGGACCTAAATAGAGCATTTTTTTCACTGTTTGAGGCCTCAAAAAGGGCGGGATGGGACAAAAAGCCGTCAAAACACGTCTATATGAGGGAAAAAGTTAAAGGAATGATCCTTGGGTAGTCCCCTTTCAAAGTTGTTCAAATGGTTCCAGTTTATTGCATAAGTAGGTCATAAGGGTAGAAGTTAAGAAAAAAATCAAATTAAAAACTTCTCTGACAGTACAAAGCCCAAAGATTTGATGTTTGGTGCATTTCATCTATTTCCATATTCAGATACTGTTTTTATGTCTGGTGGTTCTTTAGTGAGACCCATAAAACCTTATCAGGTCAAGCACAGAAAGCGAAATTTAAGTTAAGGAAGTATTTGTTCAAATACACTAATATCATAAATGGAAACATTTAAGAATTATTTGATAAATTAGTTTACTGATTCTCTTTTACGGAGCTGAGGTATGTGGTTTCACAAAAACTCCCAAATAACGAGAATTTATACTCTATTTTGTAAATCTATACCTCATGTTAAAACCTCTACTCAGAATAATTTTATAATGAATTTATCTATGGTAAACTTGGTATAACTGATCTTTATTTACAGCGCATTTTTAGAATAATCAATTATTGATAGTAATGACAAAAATATATTAAATTGTTTACTTGCAAATGCTAAGTGACATAGATAAAAAAACTCAGGTTAACAAACTGGTCATCTTCAGTCAGAGACGTTCTAGGAAAAGCTCAGGGTATTGGTAACCAAACATTGTTCTTATCGGAGTTAAAACAATTTTTTTAGATGTTTTATTCAGGAATGGACAGGTCGTATAAATATATCATCACGAGCAAGATTTCTCTCGAGTATTTACAAAAATTGAATATAGCTTTTATCTCAAGAATGTTAATAAAAGGAAATATTTGACAGCTTTAACTAATTAAAGACTATCAGCTCACCATTTAAGTATTGATGGAGTAATATTTCCTTACACGATAGGTTATGTCCCGCATGTCAAAAACCGGAGGATGAATTTCACTTAATGTTTGAAAGTAAATTGTATGATACTATTAGGAAACGATATATCAATCGATATTACGAAATAATCTCCAATATATAAAAAACTGCAGAGCTGATTAACTGAGTAAACTCTCATACAGTACAAATTGTAAGAAATTTTGCAAATTTAATGTTTATCTTTAAAGTTTTCGAGATTCGAAAAGAGTTTACAATACAATCTAAGAGAGTAAAGCAATACATGTATACCGTTAGACTTATATGTTCCTTTGTAAATTTTCATATATTCCTATATACTAAAAATTATTTTCCTATTTCCAAACTCCTATTTAAATGTATCATGTTCACTATTGTTTTTTTTGTCTTTCTTCCTCTTATTATTATACCCCCAAAAACGAAGTTTGGGGGGTATATAGGAGTCACCCGGTGGTCGGTTGGTCGGTCGGTCGGTCGGTCGGTCCAGACGTCCGTTGCATTTTCCTTGTCCGGACCATAACTTGAAGACTAATGGTTGGAATTCAATATAACTACATACAATGGTCAAGCACATTGAGAGGAAGTGCAGTGCACAAGAACCATAACTCTATCTTGATTAATTACAGAGTTATTGCCCTTTGTTACTTTTCCTTGTCCGGGGCATAACTTGAAAACTACTGGTTGGAATTCAAAACAACTTCATACAATTGTCAAACACAATAAGGGGAAATGCAGTGCATAAGAACCATAACTCTATCTAAAGTAATTACAGAGTTATTGCCCTTTGTTACTTTTCCATTGCTTTCTTTTGTCTTGACCATAACTTGAAGACTAATGGTTGGAATTCAATATAACTACATACAATGGTCAAGCACATTGAGAGGAAGTGCAGTGCACAAGAACCATAACTCTATCTTGACTAATTACAGAGTTACTGCCCTTTGTTACTTTTCCTTGTCCGGGGCATAACTTGAACACTACTGGTTGGAATTCAAAACAACTTCATACAATTGTCAAACACAATAAGGGGAAGTGCAGTGCACAAGAACCATAACTCTATCTAAAGTAATTACAGAGTTATTGCCCTTTGTTACTTTTCCATTGCTTTCTTTTGTCTTGACCATAACTTGAAGACTAATGGTTGGAATTCAATATAACTACATACAATGGTCAAGCACATTGAGAGGAAGTGCAGTGCACAAGAACCATAACTCTATCTTGACTAATTACAGAATTATTGCCCTTTGTTACTTTTCTTTGTCCGGGGCATAACTTGAAAATAACTGGTTGGAATTCAAAACAACTTCATACAATTGTCAAACACAGTAAGGGGAAGTGCAGTG